GCTTCTATTCTATTCTACTGGCCTGTGGGCTGCTAACATTCTCTCTCAGGGACTGCTCTGTGTCCCAGCCTATAACAGTTCTGCTTTCTTCACACATTTGCACAGATCGTGAAGAAATCTTTCTTTTTTGCTACCTGATAATGTGAGGTATGAAGTGCCTAGCATTCTTTCTCTTTCTTCACTCTTCTTCCATGTGAAAGAGTGCAATTACACTCCACCAGCAGCTTCCTCAAGTAAATTGCTGACCTGTTCTATGAATCGAAAATAAATCGAAAGGTCAGACACCCTCGTGTTTTTGGTAGGTGTGTTGACATTTATTTAATACTCAATGTTGAACCTGAAATCATTTTGTATCCTATCCCACCTCCCCAGGGGGGGTTTGAAAACCATGTGCTTCTCACAGTAGGCTGGGAATAGGCCAGCATTTCTGACTGCATCCTGCGTTCCACAAGCTGATGAGAATGAGCACATGGTAGGACGGAGAGTGAGGAAATGCGACCCCCCCCCGCCCCCCAGCCCTGAGCCAGCATGTCCCCTGGTCACACCTGCGTGATTCGGCAGTCTGTCATGGTCAGCCTGCGGAACCCCTCTGGGTTTCTTTTGGAGAAGCCTGGTCAGTCCCTGAAAGCCAGTTCATTACAGACTGTACATACTGTAAGTCAGCAAAAGATGTCCAGTTCCTCTTCTGCTGTAAAAGAACTCTTCTGTCCTCTTTATCTCTTTATTCCACTGGAAGAGCCAGAACAGGTGAATTCCTGACAATGTCCATTTTGCTTCCTCACAAAATATAAACTCTTTGCTTTTGTTCACTGGGACCCATGGTACACCTAACCAGAACTGTCCACCCTGGACCAGTCTTCGCTGTCTCATCTGAGACCCACTGTTCAAAGACTACACACTACGACAGTCAACTACTTTAAACAGGCAGATGCATATTTGAACAGATGGACAATTTTTTCTAATTCTCTTTAAGATCGCCTCTTCTTAATAAGAATGAATGTGCTTCCTCACTTGGATTTTACTTAATTTCCTCTTCTTCGTTTATGATCAGTGCTTGTTTGTTTTAATCTTTACACCCCTGTGGATATTAAATCCTGGTGTCCACTTGAAAAAGCCAGGTATCTCCACATAGACCTCAAGATTTAATATATACAACTTTTCCCCTTAGGCACTATGGGTTGCATTTTGAAGCTGTAATTAAGTACTTAATTAAAACTTGGCATTCAGTAGAAAGATTCAGGAAATCTCAGAAGGCATGGGATTAGTTTGCTCCTATTTTGCATAATCATAAAATCAAGAAAAGATACAATGACAGGTATCTCTCTCTTCTATTTTACACTTTGGAGAATTAAAGGACTTAAATTAAAGAAATTCTGACAGATATTCTTCATGAGATTGGCCTTTGTTCATTCCAGGCTCAATCACGCTTTGTCTTCTCTATCCAGGAAGATACAGGAAGAGTGGATAGAGACTCCCTAAACTCCCTAAAAGGGAGTTTTGCTGATTGACTGGGCCTCTCACTGCAGCAGAAACAGGACTGCACGGCTGGTCTCACTCGAATAATAAACTTTCTTTTCTGTAGTGCCTTTAAAAGTGGCTTCTCAAAGCACTTTACCGTAAGGAAAAAAAATCACACAAAGAGAGGAGGTAGCAGAATTACATCATTTAAATAAGAACGTGGAATACAGTAGAAAAGCAAAGGGTAGACACAGAAGCAGTGAAATGAAAGCCCTTCTAATTAAGAAGGCTTTGTGTCTGGATTCGAAGGAGCTCAGGGTAGGTGACTCTCTGATGTCTATAGGGATTGAATTCCAGACCTTTAGGGTGCAGCAGGAGACGTTCTGTCACCCATAGAGTGTAGATGGGCTTTGAGGACAGACAGGAGAACTAAGTCAAAGAACAAAGATTGTGAGCTGGGGAGTAGGACAACAGTAACTCAGACAGGTACTGAGGTGCCAAGCCAAGTAGAGATTTGTTTTTTTCTTCATCAACTATGAGGGATTACTTCATAAACGTATATGGAGATCTTGATAAAATATTAATTTTCACAGATTAGTTTTGGGACTCATTAGGGGACCTGTAGACAAATCAGGAGAAGCAACTTACAGAGCAGGGGCTTGAGACTCACATTGGATGTACAAACTGGCCATGTAATCCCTCCAAGACCAGAGAGGGAAACTATCAGGATCCCATTTTGCTTTGAGACCTATATACCGAAAAAATTAATCCAGCTTTAACATTTATTCAAGCTCCAGGCTAACTTCCAGATCAATTGTTGGAATTTCAAGATGATAAAGAAACTTTGTCAGAAGTGTGCAGCTTTTTATGAAAGAAGGCCAACTCTAGATGTTAAACCAAAATCGACTACTAATGACTTCTTGGTCGTTAAGGATCCCAGGGGATTCTTTGAGATGAAAGCATCATGTAATTGCAAGGATTATTATTAATTCATTCATTTATTTATTTATTTATTCCTCTCTGATGGAGGAACTGCAAGCCTCCCAGATGAGTGGTGCACAAGATTCATGTAACTGTCTTTCATCTTAGCTGACGAGAGAGAAGTCCAATCAAATTAACTTCTCCACTGCACTTGCCACACTGAAGCAAATCAGAGAGCTGCACAGACTTCAAACCAAAGAGCACAGACCAAATACGACATCAACATGGGGTCCAGATATATTCAGACGGAAACATTGTCGTTCTTCAGTTTTGGATTACAAATTCTTGATGCGGAAGCATTACATAATTCCATATGACAGGAATCCTCACTTCACAAGACTCCAGTCTTTTGGGGTCTCCCAGGCTGAAGTCAGAGTTCGCAGATCCCTGGCATGTTACTAGAGCACATGGGATAAATACAGGGGGGTGGGACAAAATAATAGCAACACAGAGCAATACATGAATATTTATTCATTAATAAAGGACTTGTCCTTCAAGAACAGCTTCAGTCCATCTTGGAATTCTGTTAAACAAGTTTTGGCCTGTTTCTATGGGATATGGAACCATTCTTCAAGAAGGAAAGTCTTTGAGAGATGAGGAAGGGAGAAATGTACTCTGCACTCTGCCTTCCAGATCTTCCCATAAAGGTTCAAGGACATCTAGTGATTTGGGGAGGCAGTGGGGGGCATTTGGCTTCATCCTGATGCTCAGAAAACGACTCCTAAATCCATCTGTGTATGTAAGGGGGGGTTCGCATCTTGGAATAGGGGAACATCTTGAGCAAACAATGTTGGCATCATAGTATGCATCTGGTCACCTAGAGTAAAATGGCTTTGTGTTCCTTGGACATAATTCTACCATGAAGAGTAATGATCGGACCCAGCGTCTCCCCATGAGACGGCTTCCCAGACCTACCCAGACCCAGACCACAGTAGATTCACCACCATGTTTAACAGACCATGTGGGCTGAAGGCTTCCTTTAGCTTTCTGCAAACATAAACCCATCCAGATGTAGGAAAAAGAGCAAAAGACAACTCATTCACTTCTGTGGTCATTTCTGAGGCTGTTATTTGGTGGTTCCTGTTAAGTATCTACCTTGTGACCAGGCCCTCTTTCCTTATGCTGTTTCCCATTGTTTGGAATCTGTTGTCATGGTTTTCCACACTCTTCCTCTGGACACGTTAAGTAATTTTTGCACCTGCACCAACTATCTGGTAACTCGTGTTGCTTTAGAAACTCACACAATAAAGTGCTGATTTCAAGATTTCTTTTACAGCAGTAGTGTTGAAATTAATATAAACCACATGTAAAAAATGTTTTGATTGTGATTTAGTTACTTCAAGCTACAAGTCCTGTTTTGTTAAGTGTTTCCATGATTTTGTCCTCCCCCTGCAAGTCAGGTTCCATGATCATGAAGCGCCTTGTAAGTTACTACAGCAGTTTTAACATCTGTGTGAGCTCTCCCAGGTAACCAGGGTCATGGGTATTGAACTGGTGGGGTAGGTACAGACACAGCATTTTGAATAAGCTGAGGTCTCTTCTGATTTACCAGATTAAAAAACAGCAACCAAGCAATTTCAAAAATCAAGTTCTAAACGTGTGTATCAGCATCTCTATATACCACAGGGCACAGACCTCGAATTCAACCCAGGCTGATTGCTGAGATGGTGGAATGTAGTTTCAGCAACACAATTTAAATAAAGCTCAAAAGTCTTAAAGTTTAAAATAAAAAACAAATTCAGAAAGACTTTATTCACTGCATGTGATACTGTACTTGCATCAAACAAAATGCAAGGGGTGGAGCAGTGGCTCTGTGGCTCAGGATCTGCGCCTGTGGCTGGAAGGTTGCCGGTTTGTATTCCGCGGCCGACAGAGCAATCCTACTCCGTTGGGCCCCTGAGCAAGGCCCTTAACCCCAACTGCTCCAGGGGTGCTGTATAAATGGCTGACCCTGTGCTCTGATCCCCAGCTTCTCTCCCTGCCTGTGTGTCTCATGGAGAGAAAGCTGGGGTATGTGAAAAGACAGGAAATTGTATATGGCTTATACAGTGATCTTTAAAAATCTGCATGTTGAGGGTGTGGAAAGTGCATTCTTCATACCATTCTGCTGGGTGGAGTGGAGGGGATTCAGATCCGCAATGAGTCCATTAGTGCCTGTTGGTTGGACCCATGCTATTGGATGGTACAAGCAGAAAAGGTCAGACCTTCAGGAAATGACATAGTGAGAAGACAGAGGTGCTGTCAGAGCTCTTGGACACCAGGAAAGCGGAGATGGAATTAGTGGAAACTATGAGGGAGTGCATTTAAAACCGGGAGTATGGAACAAGCTACCCTGCTTGATACTTTGGCTTCTTTCAAGAAACAGCCGGATGAGAAGCTCAGATCAATTAACTAATAACTTCCAAACAGGCATGAAGGGGGAATGACCTTCTCTCTGTTGGAGCCATTTTTGTGTTTATTGATTCTTCTTTCTAGGATGACAAAATCTGCTTTCCTTCCAATTGCGGTGGGATTATTCTTGGAAAAGTACTAATGTTTCTCACTCCTCTCCATTCCTGCAGAGTCTCCATGTAGAAGGTGACGCATTTCCCTGCTCCCACTGCCCCACCACTCCAGGACTGGTCTGTCCCCGTGGCGACCATGACATCACAATACCTCCTCCCCCCACTTCCGCAGCAGCATCAACAAAGGACAATGTGGAGGAGTGGCCCCCGCTGTGGCCACGCCCCTCCCAGGCCCCGCCTGGTCTGGGTGCTGTGGGCGTGGCTCTGCTCGGGGGCCTGGGCACATCAGGGCACTCAGCCTCACTCTATCAAGATCGAGGGGGACATCACTCTGGGGGGGCTGTTCCCGGTACATTCCCGGGGCCCAGCTGGTGTCCCGTGTGGGGAGATCAAGAAGGAGAAGGGGATCCATCGCATGGAAGCCATGCTTTATGCCCTGGACCAAATCAACAGCGACCCAGACCTGCTGCCCAACATTACCCTGGGCGCACGCATCCTGGACACGTGCTCCCGCGACACCTACGCCCTGGAGCAGTCGCTGACCTTCGTCCAGGCGCTGATCCAGAAGGACATTTCGGACGTGCGCTGCTCCAACGGCGAGCCGCCCATCATCCGCAAGCCCGAGAGGGTCGTGGGCGTCATCGGGGCGTCGGCCAGCTCCGTCTCCATCATGGTGGCCAACGTGCTCCGGCTCTTCGAGGTACCGTTGTCGTAAAGCGCGCTCACCCCCGGCATCCCCCAGGGAGCTGCGGGAGAGAAATGACAAAACAGACAGCTCTCCACAGGGCTTTCGCCTTCTAATTACAGTCCTGTCATACGAACGCACGTTCAAAAACATGCTGATTCACATTTAGAGAATCTACAGAGGTTGCTGCTGAGTCACTGATTTACAGTATCCATCGAGAAGCTGCAGTTCTGAATTAAGAACACAAGTGGTTATTCGCTGTGTCCTTTTGTCTGCCTATTGACGGGATGTGAATATTAATTAGCTCTGGCGGTTTCTCAGCCCTGAACGTTAGGTAGACCTGCCTAGGCCAGGGGAGCCCCACTACGCTTCTCAAGCGCTGCTGTCCAGTGGGGTGTATGCTGGTCTGTTTGAATCTGCAGCGTCTCGAGAACAAGGCAAAGCCTCAGCTCCTCCAATTAAGCAAATAAAGAGTCCAGTCCCGAAATTCAGGGCTCGGGAGTGAAGAACTCCAGAACCTTTCTGGACTCCAGGACTGGACTTGTCCCCCCCCAGTCTTAACTGACTTTTAATCCCACTTACGTTACACCCCTGTCGATGTATTTGCACTGTGATAAGGAGAGGAAATGTCCAAAGTTCAGCTTCCACCTGCTTGTGGAAACGCTCAACGTCTGTGCACGTCCGTTCCGGTGCTTTCGAAATTCATGATGTTCAATTGACATTTGCAAAAAATTCAAGTGTAGCAGACACGGTGCTTAAAAGTCCTTTCTGTCTGATTTGTAACTCTTATTAATCGATTGATGATCATTAGGTTTTTGGTTGGTTAAATGAAGTGGGCTGTAGCACTGTAGAGGCGGACATCTCTATTCTTTGCCACAGCTCTGTCGTCGCTGTCAAGTTAATTTCGGGTTTCTTCAGCATCCCTGGAAGACACAGCTAACGAGAGAGATTCTAATGCTCAAATGGAACGAGAAACCTCATAGAAATGCAGTATGCAGTCACTTGTTCCAATTAAAATCCTCCCCCTCATTTTCCTAATGCTGTATGCTTTCACAAGGCAAAATCAAAGAATTGAATCATCGTTTTGCAGGTTTATTTGAAGAACAAAGCTGTGATTATATGCATAAGACAGAAATTATGCAAAGCCAGGGGTCTGTGATGTTTTATGATTCTTGGCCAGGGATTCACAAGAAGCTGATTTGGTAAACACAATAAAAATTGTTGCACATTATGAGTGAGCTGAGGGAATAAATGTATGCCACAGGGTATAATATGCATGACATAGATGTCCTTATGTGACCTTTCATAACTTAACTTTATTTACAAAGAAGCATGCAGTCCGTGTTTGAGTGGCAGAGACGAACACAAGCAGGGTGTTAGAAGTCTTCAAGGAAAACAGAATAAAAGGCCTTTGTGCCAGCAGGGTTCTGAAGGTGAATAGACAAGATGAAGGATTGCAGCAGAACCTGAAAGTGCACAAGGTAATTGCTGCAAAAGTCCCAAAGAGAAAACTTGGACTGTGGCGACTTTAGAGTTCTCTTTCAGGTACTAGCATCACATGAAAAATCAAGCCCTGCAGGGCTGGAGGGGGTTTCTTCCCTCTTTCAGTGGAAAGCATCACATTATTTATTCAGATTCCTCACTGTCAGGCGCTGAGACAAGCTCGTCCCACAGAGAGAGACCTGCTCTGCGATTCAGATGTTCTGTCAGGGGAGATGCGGAGTGGAGTGTGGAATCCCTGGAACTAATTCTCAGATTAACACCCACCAGTAAACCTGTAACGGGCTTTCTGTGTGCCGAGCCCTGAAAGGGAAATCAAATGTGAAACAAAACTTAAAATCCCATCCCACACAGCACAGACAAAACCTGAAAAAATAACTTCTTTAAAAGCACTCGAGTGTTTATCCTAGCAACGTCAGAAGCCCAGGGCCACGACAAGAGGGATTCTAGTTGTACAAGGCCCAGCCACCAGCTCTTGACACAGGCGATCTGCCAGACACTTTCCCGCGTGTCGTTCCGAGAGCCAGTCCAGTAAAACTGTGCAAACAAATGTCTGGACTGGAGGACACCGCAGACACAGCCTGCAGCTGCACTGAACTGCAAGAGAGAATCAACCTGGCTTTCTTATTGGCCTGCTCAGTTCTTACGCTTCCTCGGGTATATATACATGCTAAGTGTATATACAGTATGCATATTCTTTCTGCTCTGTGTCATCCCTTCTTGATTCAGTCCCTCTGCTACACAGCAGTCCTGCAACCCCACTGAACACACAGATCAGTGAAGGAAGGATTTGTGTCCTGTCTGTCAGCAGTCAGTGTGCTTGCAGTGTGGTCTGTCTGTGAGAGTTGTGTGCTGTGTGTGTGAGAGTGTGGTCAGTCGGTGAGAGTTGTGTGCTGTGAGTGTGAGAGTTTGGTCAGTCTGCTTGCTGTGAGAGTTGTGTGTTGTGTGTGCTTGCAGTGGGGTCAGTCTGTGAGAGTTGTGTGCTGTGAGTGTGAGAGTGTGATTAGTCTGTGTGAGTTGTGTGCTGTGTGTTTTTGAGAGTGTGGTCAGTGTGTTTGCTGTGAGAGTTGAGTGTTGTGTGTGTGTGAGAGTGTGGTCAGTGTGTTTGCTGTGAGTGTTGTGTGCTGTGTGTGTGACCCAGGAGCTACTCAGTGGGATTGTAGTTGACAGGTTAGGAGCCGTCAGTAACCACAGCAATGAAAGCATCCTTCCCCCACACACTGCACTGCTCTACGCTGCTCTGCAGAGCAAACCAGAATAGAGTTTTAAAGAAATTCCTCCAATAAGCATTGCTGTACAAGCGCAGTAGATTTTGGTTTAGTTAAAGCACCGCTGTTGTGCCACAAGCAGTATCTGTATGAAGCTGGCAGATCAAACGAGCCAAAAGCTTCAGTTCTGCTGATTACTTGAAAGCACGACCCTTGGCTGGGAGCCGATACTGAAAACACTACAGCCGCTGCTGGTCAGAGCTGGATAGGACTGGCAGGTGCAATAGTGTTTCCATTGGATCTCACCACGGGATTTGCCCCATTTAAGACTGTAGCAGCAATGAACTTGACACTAGAGTGGGGTGGTGAGTGAGAGGGGTTATAAAGTCTCCTCTGTGGTTGCTGTGGTTTTTATAGTTCTGGTCATGGGGGGGAAATTTCAGATTCAGGCCCTCTCTGGACTGGTTTCTACCGAAAAAGTCTTGTCCATTCCGTAGTCATCGCAAGTCAGGTCTGACATTGTGAGAAACACACACAACGTGACAGGTTGTCTTCTAGCAGTAGGCAATACCAGGAGTCCTGCCAGCACACTGCCAGACCCAGGACAAAACCAGCTCCAGCAGCGACTATCGTGAGGAAATTGTTCCTGACAAGTCTGCCTAATGCATTTGCTTAATTGTTTTTTATTATCACTGAACTGCACACGGCACAGTGACTGAGTGTGACGATTAGTTAACGAGGTCCATTCTGAGCACAAACTGGATGACAGCGCTTGTGAATGAAGGAGGGGGGAAACTGAAATGCAGAAACAGCAGCTATTGAATGGACTAATTGGATTAAAACTGCTTGTCTCTCGCCTGTACTGAACGATCATATTGTAGGACCAATGTTGTTTAGTATTATACAGAACAAGCAGGCTCATTGCAAGTGTTTAAAGACCAAGGTAAAGTAAAATAAAACCCCCTAATCATTTCTTTCAAAGGGAATAAATTGAACCTGTACAAAAATAGTTTAATACTTAACTACCAGTTGAATGATGTTCATATTTTGAATGTCAATTTATTTTTTCACACCAAAAACATCAGGTTCCTCAACAGTGGTTTCAAAGCATAAAAGCTTTGAAAATTTCATATTAAAATTACACAAATTGAGAAAGATTCAACACCTGATTGTTACGGAATATTAATGAGGACCCTATGCAGAATAATCAGGACGAACTTCAGAGGCGTAATCAATTAAACAGTCCGAGGTCCGAAAGCCGAAGTGATACAAACCTGTACGAAAGTACAAAATCAGAAGCGGAGCCGGAAGCCGAGAGTCTAAACCAGAACAATAGTCAAAGTACCAAAACAAAACCAGGAGACGTAGTCGGAGAACAAACCAGGGTCAGGAAGCCAAAAACCAAGACGTAACTAACCGCAGGAAGACGGGGTAGCTCTAACCAGGAAACCCTCATACTGATCACCGGGGAGAGTGTGGAGCAGCATTAGATAGGCTGGGGTAAAAGGCTAATTGGGAACCGTGCTGGAATGCCAGGTGGATTTCCTAGTCCTCCGGGGGCGTGGCGTGACACTGATGAAATCAACATAAAATGATACACAGACATAAATCTGATTCACCACAGCAAGTACAAAAGTAGATTCACTTGCACTGCAAACGAGACACGACTGTTTAAATATGTTGCATGATTTTATATACCGTGCTTAATTACAATATATAGCATCTATAACTTCTCAATGAAAATCTCAGACTTGTACTCCTCATCTTGGGTTCAAAACCTGAACCCTAAATAGCCCTAATAAAGAGTGTCATTTGAACTCTTTAATTGGAATCTGTTCCTAAACCCGTAGGAGGTCAGCTTTAAACTATTGTGTTTCACAAGTCATTTAACATCTCCAGCTTTGGAGAGGAAAAGGCAGGTTTTGCAAAGGTTCCAGCATCTTGTTGGTTCAGTTAGGTTTGTTTAAGGCCTCCTTATAATCCTGATCTCTACACTGGTTTCATCACTCTGTTCTCCTCCCCACTGAGAGCATGTGGAAGCTAAATATATATATATATTTCTCTTCTCCTTACCTGAGCTGGGTCTCACTAGATGCCCTAGTCTGGCATAGGTTAGGGTATTCTGTGGAATGAGTGAGCCTGTCTTCAAAGTCTCGGATTAATACCCATCTCCCATCTGAGCAAACAGCCCCAGGCCATTGTTTTCATGTGGCGATCCTTTGAATTCAGCTCAATTCCAGCACAGCATCACAGTGACACAGGGAGATGTCACACAGGAAGGGAAACAGAGACCTGACAGGCCTCCGTCTGAGCCTGATGCTCCCCCCCAGCCACCACTACACAAATAAGGAAATTTCTCAATCAACTGCACTTTGTCACGATAGTTTGGATAGTTTGTGCTGACTGGGGATTCACTGGGGTACAAGTGTCCATGGCCCTGTTTTGGTTTTCTATCCTAGTTTTCATTTCTAATTTGCCAAGTGATATTGGATTGCACACCTGTCCGATCAGCATTTTTCGGATCATTGTCCCGACTCCTCTGTCCGGGTGGGGGGGGTGAGGGAAGGGAAGACCTGCTCCTCTGGACCCGCCTGCCCACAGAGGCGAAGCGACTTCTGCAGCGACTCACAGCAGGGTCTGCACTGATTGGAGGAGAGGTGCGTCCCGCGCTGACATCAGCGCTAGCCTGCAGGAAGTCGCTGTTTCACTGCTCACAGCCCCGCCCCCGGCACACCTGGGGAAATCCAGGACTTGGCCATTTCGCGTGAGATGCCACACTGTCGGCAGAGAAGAATCTTCTTTGTCTGAATTCTAACGTCACGCCCGGGATCTGAAAAGCTATCCTCTGTAGCAGATTCCCAACAGCACTAGGTAAAGAAGGATTTTAAAAGGATTGCTGCTCTGTGCCGATATTTGTACCCCAGTTTCTGTCAGACAATGGACAGCTGTAATAGTCTGAAATCCATTCAAGAGACGCAGGACTGGAAAGGAATGTTTTTAGTACAGTTTGGCAAAGAAATCGTCTGGAGTTCGTACATGGTAACATGGCAGCAACGTGGGGAAAAATTCTGTAGCATGGAAATGATGCTTCAAAAGCCATCCTGCTGTAATATCAGGGTTTAGTACAGGCTTGGCCCCGTCTGCAGAGGCACAGGAGCAGTCCGTCACGCTGGGGAGGGAGGGGGAGACGACAAGCCATTACAGTGATTAGAGGTCTGGATTTGGCAGGTTTTAGACGGATGACTGTGACGACCTCACTCCAGGAGTGGGGCCTTTTCAGCCACCTGGTGTCTCCAGGTATCATCACCCACACCAGCCAGGACACTCTCATGAGTGGGCTCTGACAGGTGGGGTGGAGCCCATTGCTGTGCCTCTGCGCTGCTCAGCGGCTGCAGGACTGAACCTCGGGGAGGCTTTTTTGATTGCTGTTTCACCAAACTAGACCGCCACAGCGAACATGCACACACGTGTTTGATCAACGGCCTTCCGGCCCAGGAAGTACGCCACACAGTCGGAGAGACCCGGCTGTGACCTCTGTGGAGGAAGCCCTCTTTTAAAAAGGCCAGGATCCAGCAGCTCAGACTTTCAGCACAGCCGAGGAAGGGGTTAAAGCCACCCTAGATGTGAATATGTGAGCCCTGTATTGCTGGAGGTATTAAATATATTGTATGGCTTACAGCTGAGAAACAGCAACCCTCTCTCGCTCTCTTTACTTCTCTACTTAACTTAATTTGACTAAAACCCCTCTAATCCACATGGATAATCTGTCAAATGGTTCTCTCCCTCTCTCCTTCCTTCCCCCCTCGTCTCTCTCCTGTCTATCTCCCTCGTTTCTCCCCAGAACAACCCCCCCCCCATCTCCTCCCCCTGCCCAGCGGGTGAGGGGGATGAGATAGAGCGGTCTGGTCCTATCCCAGTCGGCTTCAGTCCCTGTGGGACTCACCAGCTCCACCCGTCTCACGGCACCAGTCCCCTGGTTCTCAAGAGGACTGGCATCCAGGGGCTGCTGTGGCCAAGGACACTGAGGGGTGTTCAGGAATGGGGATGGCAGTCTGGGGAACATGATGGGAGTCTAGGAATGGTGATGGGAGTTTAGGGGAGGTAATGGGACCCTAGGAATGGTGATGGGATCTAGGGCATGTGATGGGAGTCTAGGGAAGGTAGTGGGAGTCTAGGAATAGTGATGGAAGTCTATCTCATACTCAATGTACTCACAACTCATAACATCTCTCTTCTTTCTTAGTTGATTTTGTGTTCTTTCCTTCTCTATGTCTCTCTGCCTCGATGCCCCTCTGTTCTCTGTCTCTGCTGGCCCCCCTTCTCTGCCTCTTCTAATGTCTCCTCTCTTTCTGTGCTTTGTACTCTGCTCTCTCTCTCTCTGCGGCTCCTTATCTCCCTTCTCATTCCTCTTCAGCTCCAGCTGTGCGCTTGGCTGCTCCCTCTCTGTTGTGTGTCAGGTCTGATGATGTCAGACGAGTCCCTCTTCCGATCGGCCACTCAGCCTAGCGGAGAAGTCAAGAGACCGACTCTTAAAGAGCAAGGAGTCTGAGCGGCACAGCTTCAAACAACATCATGTGCTGCTCAGCTTGCTGTTTCCAAAACACACTTGCCTTTTCATTCCCTTTCAGTGCTTTACTTACACAAGCAGGTGTCTGAGCTTGCAAGCTCAGTGCAATCACTTCTAAAATGTCACCTTTCCATTGACTCCGCAAGTAATGTCTCAGAACCCTGTGTGCTGTATAGTGTGTCTCAGGAATTTGGACCCATAGAGAACTTAAACTATATCCACTTTATTCATTATTATTCAGACTGGTTGCCATTAACATCCATTCGCATTTTAATTCCTGTACGAATGTGTTCTTCAAAGTAATTAAAAGGGAAGCACTGTTCTGATAACATGCATTGTTTTCCTTGAGTGCCGCAACACTGTTTGGGCTGTTAATCACAGATTCCAGCTGGTTTCCATGGGGAAAAGCCTGGGATCTGGACCACTGTGAGGTCATTCTGCCCTGCCTGCCTCAGAGGTGCTTCATCCAGTCCGTTTCAGACAGTAGAGGCGTTTCTCTGGCATCTGTATAACACCAACCTGCCCAGCCTCTGACCGTAAGCCTACTCTTACCAAAGTGCTTCATGTCAAAGGTCCTGGAAGCACATGGTAGGGCCTGTTCCACTCATCCTCCGCTAGATATCTGGGACGAGGGTGAAATCACATAAGGTGTGGCCCTGTCTTGCACCCTGTGCTTCTGAGACAGGCTCCTGGTTGTCGCAGCTCTTACCAGGAATATGCATCTTCCTCCTGCCATGAGAATGGGATGGATAGGTGAGATGGGGTGCTGTTAGTACAAACAAGCAATTGGTCTTTATCAGCATCGGGTGGATCAAAATCCCGAGGATCTGGTAGACCTCCGCCGGAATCGCCAGGGATTCCCGGTGTTCTCCCTTCAGCCCGTGTTTCCTGTTCTGTCCTGGGTCTGTGGCAGATCCCCCAGATCAGCTACGCCTCCACGGCCCCGGAGCTGAGCGACAACAACCGCTACGACTTCTTCTCCCGCGTGGTGCCGCCGGACTCCTACCAGGCCCAGGCCATGGTGGACATCGTCAAGGCGATGGGCTGGAACTACGTCTCCACGCTGGCCTCCGAGGGCAACTACGGCGAAAGTGGGGTGGAGGCCTTCATGCAGATCTCCCGCGAGGCAGGTAGCGTAGCTCAGGGGTACCCAGGCTGTCTCAGCTTTACCACTGACCCCACCCTTACTGTGTCCCCAACTTTACCACTGACCCAACCCTACTGTATCCCCAACTTTACCACTGACCCAACCCTACTGTATCCCCAACTTTACCACTGACCCAACCCTACTGTATCCCCAACTTTACCACTGACCCAACCCTAACTGTGTCCCCAACTTTACCACTGACCCAACCCTAAATGTGTCCCCAACTTTACTCCAGCCTGCATTGACCCACCTTCCCACTTGACCCCAACTCTCTCGCTGTCTCTTCTTCCCAGCACTGGCGGCTGGTTGTTTGTCTCTCCTGAGTGTTTTGTTTTGTACGAATATGCGTCAAGGCTAATGACTGCAGATGTGAAGAGGAAGTAAACACAGTAGCTGTATTTCTTAAAGCTTTCACTGCATCCTCTCCCGTCCCACGTCCAGGGTGACTCATTTTCAGGTCAGTTTATGGAAGTGGATAGACTGCAGATGTAATCAGAGCCAGAGAATAATGAAAAGTGACTGTCGAGCAATGAGTGTATCTAGACCAGCATCTGAGAGGTTTTTGAGTGAAGGTTCCACAACTTTTCCCTGGCAGGACAGTAACAGGTCAGGATGTCCATCTCTTCTCCCCCCTTTTAACAAAGAAATGTCTCCTTCTTCCTGGTGACCAACCATTAACATCTCCGGGTGCATCCATTCCAGGTGACATCTCCAGGTGGAGTCATTAACATCTGTGGTTTATCTGCAATCGCTTTTTGGATTGTTTCACCTGAGAATGTGGTGCTGACTGATCATCACTCTGTCCAGAGAGGATGCACCTTGAGAATTTAAAAGTCAAGCAGTGACTGAACTCTTAGTCCGGTAGGAGAATGACATGTTCGGAGAGGCTGAAAGGACTCTTTCTCCCACTCCTGCACAGGCAGCTACTGTATAGAGAACCTATTTCGGCAAAAGTTTAGAATGATCTTTTATTGTATTATGGCTGCATATGAGGAGCCATGCAGTAGATCCCCTTGATTCTATACATTCAGTATGTCAGAGATGTGTCACATAGTGTATCACTGCCTTGTAACACAGGCTGCAAATCCCTGCAAATGCATTTGGTAAGACCCCATTCATGGGCGACCCAACCATTGTGAGCCACCGGCGAATGGGTGCATACAGAACCTTTGTCTACTCTGCACACAATTCTATTCCTGCAGCAATACCTCCAATTGTCTTGGAAGTCGGAAGAAACGTCAGCATTGAATGAAGCAAAGCTATTTTAGAGTATTCTACTGTAATCCCAACAATGGGATTTTGCTCCTTCTGGGGCATCTGTTGTTTATGCTTCAGTGGATATCTACTGTGCTCTTCCTAGAGGGACAATCTTGCAGTGCCTTTTTATACGACATGTTGCTCCTTTGAGGCACAAGCAGTCATTATTCAAGGAGGGGTAATGGAATCAGCTTAGGAAACTGAGAATAATGCAAGAGGAGAACCGGGCCTCTGTGTTGTTTCACCACAGGGCAGAATTTCTTCTGTATCAGAACACGTGGAGCATCTGTCGCTTCACTGGAGAACACAAAGCTGGAATGGCCCATTTCGGATCCCCTCTTCCTCCAGTAAAAGAGCTGATCAAATCCACAAAATGATTTTTCCATCACGCATGTCGTCCGCATTTATTTTTGCTCCCTGTCCCGCTGTGCGGCTGTCCCATCCCCCAAGGAGGCACTTGGCAGCAGGGAAAGAGGCTGTAGCATCGAAATGACGTCACCCAGTGTGCAGATCTACTTTCTGAGGGCTGTCCTGCACTGTACTGTGGTCCAGACTGAGAAGAGTGGGACTAAGGTGGAGTTCTCTATTGTGACAAGAAAGCAAGACGCACGCTTTTAAGCCCACTATAATCGATTTGACTCTCAGCATTTTGACTCAGAAGAGCCTTCATCAGAACATGCAAACTGGCCAAGCCTGACAGGTCTTGCAACAAGCAGACAGCTCTCTCCAGCCCCTTAAATCACTAAAGAGTCTTATGAGGTGTCTTGGCATGTTCCCAGCCCAGTGAGAAACCTAACAGAGATGCCAGAGCTGTCTCTCATCAAAAGGAGGGCGCAGAGCCGGAGCATGCCCCATTCCCTGTCCCTCTGCAGGACAGCGGGAACAGAACACGCTCAGATACATTACCTGCCACAGCAGACAAGCCCCTCTATGTGTCCCGAGTCTCCTGCTCGTGTCTGCTTCGCTGGAGGTGTTGCAGTGTGTAATGATAATTAATGGGAGGAAAGGGTTTTAGAAAGAACTTCCCGCGGTTTAATAATTCATTGTCGGCGCCTCTTCATATTTTTCATAGTTTGTGGGCAAATTGCTCATGGCAGCCAGTTCCAATGCACACACCTCCTTTCATGGTAATGCACCACCTTAAATTGTAATAAATCCATTACATGCTACATTGCTAACATCTGCTCCTTGGTCTTCAATCCCACCTCAGAATCGAAGACTTGGTCATTCTTTCAACATGCCCTTGTACGTTCCTTTTGGTCTCACACTCCCACATCGCATCAGGGATCATGGCCATCCTTCCGAAGACAGAGCCTCAGTAAGGAAGGAAGAGGTCTTCAGTGGTCTGCCTTGGCAGTCTGGCTATCCCTCACATGTTCTGTCGGGGTCTGCACGTGCTGGGGTCTCTGGGGGTCTCCTCTCTCAGCCTCTGGGGCTTGGTATGGAAGCATGCAGTGGGGGGACCTGTCTGTCACGCCAGACCCTGGCAAGCCTCCCAGGCTGAGTGACAGCGGTACCCGCGGCCTGTACAGCCCGCGAGCGGCAGAGGACTCGTGTTGCACCAGGGGGCTGGCCAAGAATAGACACGCGGCGAAGAGGCGCTCTTGAACGAATCCGCAGAGTGGGAGAATAGCAGAGCTTGAGCGCAGAGAGTGAGATAATCCCCCCCTCCCTCCCCACCACAACTGTGCAGCATGTGTCCATGCTCATTTCCCCTGTGAACCGGACCCTCTCCTGCAAAGGACAAGGTGCTCTCCATCCACTGCCTGTCACGAACAGTTCTTTCCGGCCCCTGTGCAGACGACACGATCCAGAATTGTGAGGAAACGCTGGGGAAAAAGTCATGCAGGAGAGGGTACGGAGACAGGGGGCGTGGCCAAGGGGTGCAGGTGTCCAGGGGGAGTGAGTCCGGGGCGAACAGTCCATGAAGAAACCCAAACGGGTCATCCAAGACAGAAGAGTCAGTCCAATGCCAGAAGATCCATCCCAGGGAATTAAAACCATGAACCGGGTCGGGACCGGCGGGGGGGATCAGGAACAGAAGGTTGAGACCATGACGGAGCCAGACGCAGCAGGACCCGGGCTCTCACGAAACGGGATTCAATGAGGAGCCTCGAGTGACGTCTGCGTCTGGCTTTTAAGGTGGAACTAAAGAGGGGCTGGAATAAGGAACAGGTGTGGGTAATGGGGCAGAACAAGGAAGGGCTGGAGCGCCCTTAAGAGGAGGAGTAGCGATCGTGACACTGCCATGAAATCAGCAAGAGTGCCGCACGCGTCTTGGAGGTGCATTCAGAATTATCCACCCGGTTGCTTGACTCTTCTTTCGTCTTTGTGAAAGAATGATTTTCTTCCCCCGGTGTAGCAGGGGAACTGGAGTGTACTCAGGACCTGGGCCCCTCTAGTCTGGCTCGGAGGGGATGGAGCTCAAGTGTCCAAGATTCTCGTCAGGGCAGACTTGAGGCCCACTTCAAGCCCAGCTCAGAAACGAGGACGTAGAGAAAGGAAGTGGAAATTCCGGGCAGCTGCTCCGCAGGAGCTTGCTCAGTGTCCCGGTCCGATTGCTGGGACAGACTCCCTGGGATCTCCTCGGAAGAGCCAGCACGACCGCTGGGCAGAAGGGACTCCTCTGCTTCCTGACACTTTTGATGTGAAACAGCTCGAAACTGTCAGTGGCCTCACGCTGTCTCCAGGGAGAAAATGGCCGTCATGCGAGTTTGCAAATCAGTTCACTGATTCCTAAATCAATCTGATTTTGGTTCAGTTTTGGTCCACTAATTTATTAATTCCTCCCTTGAAGAAACACAATATCAATATGATACAAAACAACATGTAATGAGAAAGGGATGGATGAGCTCTTTGGCCCCATTAACGGTTAGCTAATGGTCCAAACAGCCTCGTTTGGACCCCTTCTTGGGTCTGAATTGTAAATGATGGTGTTTTCAGTATTTGCTTTCTCTCTGCTTCTGTCCCTGGGGTGTGTGGAAGGTGGGCTGTGCATCGCCCAGTCCCTCAAGATCCCCCGCGAGCCCAAGCCGGGCGAGTTTGACAAGATCATCAAGAGGCTGATGGAGACGTCCAACGCACGCGGCATCATCATCTTCGCCAACGAGGACGACATCAGGTGGGGCTCCGACCTGGGGGGTCCCCGCTGAGGGGCTATCCCCAGAGGACATCGCGCCCAGGCAGGACTCCAAACCAGGATATCCTGAAGAATCTGGATCGGGGAACTGATCTGCTAACACTTAGAGTGTAAAACGATACACCAGCACTTTCTAAGTTCCTGGGAAGGGCCCTGACTTTGCAATTATTGCCAATACCTACCTGCCAATTATTAATTGCTCATAGCTGATTGACTGCTAATCATTTCATTAATATTACTTCTGATAATTGGATTGATGAGCAAGGTTCTAAGTTGACATATTAATAGCGACTTCATGGTCGCCGAAGGACTTTTTAACTCAGAAATGAAGGTTTCCAGATTGGCCTGTCCGTCTCTGTTCTGTGTTAATATTCTAGACCTCTCAGCAGGAGTCAGGGCTCTGGCACTCATTCCATCGGCCTGTTTCTCCATTGGCTGGACAGCAAGCTAATCAGCTCTTTCTCCTCTGCTGTGCAGGCGTGTCCTCAAGGCGGCGAAAAAGGCCAACCTGACGGGCCACTTCCTGTTTGTGGGTTCAGACAGCTGGGGTGCCAAGATCTCACCTATTCTAGACCAGGAGGACGTGGCAGAGGGCGCTGTCACCATATTGCCCAAGAGAGCCTCCATCGAGGGTAGGACAAGGCTATCCATCTGCAGTACGGCACAGGCAATTGTAAAAGACACCAGCTCAGCTTCCTATTTACAGACACGGAAAGGTTTATTCCTCTGTGCTACTGTATATGTGCTTTATTTTAATTGATGTGCCATTAATGGAAGATTAGTTTAACCTATTAGAGGGTAATGGCTTGTTTGTCAGCAGTGTGGCTTAGAGCAGAGAGAGGTGATGGACTGGATTCCTGCGGGGGGCCCAGTGTCTATCTGGTTCTGTTCTACTCCAATTGGTATATTTATTTGACTGCACAATTGTAACACCTCAAACCAGGCGCTGGGGAGTTTTATAGGGAGTTTTATAGTTTTTTTATATATTGAAATGAATGTCTTCCCCATTTAACTGTAGAGAACTTAAAGAAAAATCCTTTATATAATAATTAATCGTTCAATCGACCCAAGTCAATTGTTCGATCGACCCCTCAGGGTGGAACAGGACACCAGGCCCTGCAGGAATGAGACTCCTAGCTTAGAGCACCTTATGTCAGCTATTACTGGCAGCTGGAGGCAGCCAAGGGCTTATCTGACATGACTTCACCAACCTGCTTAGCTTGCACGTTCAAAACACCATAGAGATGTAAAATGTCACAGTACATCTATCACTCAATTGGACAATCCTGTTCCCGGAGGGTGTCTTAACGCAGATTTTAAAAACCTAAACCAGCTCATTATTGGCTTAATGGGAGCAATTTAACAGCTTCTCAGCTGTCCTAGAGATTGAAAACCTAACAACAAATGATCTCTTAGTCCAGGGCCAAGTCTGCCCAGCCCCAATCCATCAAGAGGATAAGTTAAAATTCTTGAACACAGTAGATCTGCTTTTTCATTTTTCAATTGGTTTTGTAAAACAACTTAGTCCTTTATTTTCTGCTGTAGAGGTCAAATACACCTATTTACAGTACAGCTACGTCTGTGTGATCATGGAGGTTTCCGCTGTGTTTCTAAGAAGTGTGTTGAATTTGGAGAGGGGAAGGAAAAAAGCTGTGTGAACACGGACACACACCTTTCACCCTCCTCTCAGAGTGCCTGCTGAAGGAACCCAGCCAGTCTTGCCTTTGTGTCTGCGGCACAGGGTTCGACCAGTACTTCACCACCCGCTCCCTGGAGAACAACCGCAGGAACATCTGGTTCGCGGAGTTCTGGGAAGACGACTTCAAGTGCAAGCTGACCAGACCGGGCATCAAGCTGGAGAACGGCAGGAAGAAATGCACAGGTGAGCACACCTGGAGGAAGAGTCTTGCCTGAGTCCCCCGAGCCTGCAGCCTCGCTCTTCTTCAGAGCTGCTCTCCGGGTGCCTGATCAGGGTTCGCAGCCTTCCGACCTGACAGCTGGGCCACGAGGGGATACAACTAGGTCTGGGTAGCGCACACTTTGAGGTGACCACTTTCCAGCTGGACAGTGTTTAGCTCTCCAGGGGGTGGTGTTGAGGAGGGGAGAGGTTCTCTCACAAATACATTTTCCCTGTATTTTCATTTTCTGTAGCTAGTCTGGCCACTCGCCCCACATCAACAGGGTGTGGAGTAGTCGTGAAGGCTGTAGGCTTGTAACAGATCAGGGGTGAGGCACAGCTCTTCTGCCCTTGAGCAAAGTCCATCACTCTGGCTGCTCCACCGAAGTCCCAGCTGTGTGTAACAAATGTATGTCAGTCTGGCGTAAACCAAGAGGTCTACATTAAACTACGTATGAAATGAGTACTATAATGGGATTACTTCACCACATTACTATTTCAAATTATTATTAATGCTATCAAGAAATTGGTCTTGCTTTACTGTCTGTGTCCTGGAAATGACACATAATCCAAAATAGGGGATGCTCTCAGTACAACTGACCCATCTGGTAGCCTTGTTTCTGTCCTGGCAATGCATTTTGTTTGATCCTGTGTTCTGTAATCATGGTCACAAAATCCTGGCTTCTTTTAAAACTGATCTGCTCTCCCAGATCCAGACCTTAGAAGGAGAAGGTTAATTCTGCTTATTAATTTGTCGACCTTGCAAATGGCCTGTGAAACAAAGAGCTAGCATTTTCGTCTTTGTGACTTTTGCTGGCATAAGCCTAAGAAAGGCCAGAAAGGTTTTTTGTACTGTTTTTACAAGAACAGGCACTCCAGAGTCACAGACGTATTCTTGATCATTAGACTCCTGAAGCCTGTTGTTTTCTGCTTGAGAACAGGCACTGTACTAGAATTTGCATTGGAAAGAAGCTTGAAGGCCTCTTGCTAGCCTGCTGTGAGAGAAGCAGACTGGGGCTCCACTCCATTGATCCTGTTATAATTCCCACTAATGCCCTCTATGCCTACGGGACGTGGCACCGATTATGGAGCATTTAAATCAGCAGTGTTAACTCGGTTCCGGTGCACAGATTTATGATATCAACTTCTCTCTACGTTTTACCCCCTGTTCTGTGGAAGTGGCCCTTCGTAATAACGTCAGCGCTGCAGCCATCAAAGATGGCGTGTCAGCAGGAGAGTGGAAGAAGAGGAAGCACATGCATCCTCAGACACGTGTGCTTGTCAGGCCACCTCGCCCACGGCTTCCCCCTGTGATCGCACTGCTCCGACAGGGGCCCACAGCAGCTGCAGGAGGACAGGTGCAGTCCTCAGCGATGACGCTTCAAGCTCACCGGCCTCTGGCAAGCCACTGCAGCTGCTGCTATGTTGCAGGCTGATGCCCTGGCAAGTCAAACCCCAGCAAGCTTCTATCTTCGCAGAAGGAGGGGGTGGGGGATGTTTCCTGACTTTCCTCCTCTCCCTCACCCAGGGGAGGAGCGGATCAGCCGGGACTCTCCGTACGAGCAGGAAGGGAAGGTGCAGTTTGTGATCGACGCGGTCTACGCCATGGCCCACGCCCTGCACAGCATGCACCTGGACCTGTGTCCCGGGGCGGCGGGGGTTTGTGACAAGATGGACCCCATGGAGGGCAGGCTGCTGCTGCAGTACATCCGCAACGTCAACTTCAACGGTGAGCCGCCAGCCCCTCACTTCCCACAGACTCCACCGGGGGGCGCTTTCAGAGCAACATGCCCTCTGCCACAATCTGCGGTTACAGGGGTCAGGGTGGCAAAGAGAATCAATGCACAGTGGAAAACACCTAATGCTATGTTTAAGCAAGGTAATACCACAGTACAACAACTGTGCATATGCCATGCCATGCTGTGATACACTATAGCACTTTTAGCTTAATACTGGTATTTTCTTACATTTCTGACAGCACAGAGATTTGTTTTTGCAAAATACCCCGGTTTGGGAATACCCTGGCTTTCCTGTGGAATTAACAAAGATGTAAAAGCTGGTTTTGCTCACCATCTGAGCTTTTCAGTGAGGTAGGAGAGACACCAACAGCTCGAACCAGCCCCGGAGAGCGGGTGACAGATAACAGCCGCAGGTGAACAAGCTGACTGGGCGTCAGGCTCGGAAGTGATCTCAGACACCTCCCAGAGGCCCGAAGGCATTCTGTTAACAAAAGACAATGATGAGCCAACGGTCTCTCCCAGCACCACATGCCCATGCACACTGACTGAACGTTTTAAAGAGTTACCTTTATACTTGTAAATCCCCTCTTAGACTGACTGCATAGGTTTCAGGTTTAATCCAATAGTATTACAGATGTATTGCAATATTCTAATCTCCTAGAAAACTCCGTTACATTGTGTTACACTGGGCAGAGTGGTCTGACAGAGTGCAAGACCCAGCAAAAAGCTGATGGAATAAATTAAAAAAAAAGAGGCAGTAGGTTTAGACACAGCAGATAAGGCACAGGGTCACAATGCAGGCAGCTCTTTGGAGACCCAGTTGTGCAGTAAAGATAGCTACGGTGAATGATGCTGACAAAATGTCCTGCAGTATGAATGGGTATGAATGTAAGTCGCTCTGGAGAAAAGTGACAGGCAAATACGTTAATAACAATTAACGTGAAGCAGCAGGGGGGAAAGACAACATAGGAGTCAGGAGACCAAAACACTGAGTTTCCAAATATGTCAGCTAAAAATAGTGTCATGACGACAGCCCATTGGATAGTAAAGAAATGTTAATCCCACTTTTGGCGTCAGAGTCATATAATCTCCCCTTTGCTTGCTCTGGGTTAGTGGCTTTTCTAGCACATGGTGAGGGAGCAGAGCTGTCAGGGGGGCAGTGTGTCAGGCTGAGCCAGCCTGCAGAGAGCTCTGCACAGCCGCCTCTCCAGGCCCAGACCCACTAACCCCCCGGCTGCTGAGCAAGACAGTGCCTCAACACTCCTTTAAAATCCTCGCCACGTTGAGTCAGCGTCCGGGATCCAGACCCCACTGTCTTAACGCATGAGATTCACAGTCCGCATGTTCTTGTTTTACTTCCCAATTTTGTATCTTGTGCAGCCTCCTGAGGTCTGGACCTTTGACAAGCTCTGCTTCATACAGTTAAAAGAACTGGAACAGGGCGTCTGAAACTCTCTTCTTCTGTGGCCAGGGGGGCACTCAGTGGGGTGTTTTAGAGAGGGTTGCATGTTTCAAACAGACACAGCAATGCTGTAGAGGAGAGATTATTCAGGCACTAAGAAAGGAGTGCCTTATCACTGTTATATTTAATGGAGTGTAGGAACAGTTCAATGATCTGCATAATTCCAGCTGAAGCTCAGACAGTAGCTCAAGAGACTGCTTTTTAGAGTGGCTTGCAAAGGATGAGGAGGCTCCGTTTCGAACGAATGGTCGCTGTGCTGCTAACAGCTCGTCTTTACAGATGTGATCAGACCAGTAAGATTGCACTGTACTGCACAGTGCAGAGGTCAAGCAGTGTCCCCAGTGGGGTTTTGGGAAGCTCTGGTCTTGGTTTCTCTGCACTGGGAATTAGTCCGCCCCTCCTTTCTTAACGAAACAAGAAAGCGTAGCCAAGCAGAAAGTGCTTTTACAAACATGACACAGACATTGAGAAGCATTCTGCTTCAAGATCGTGTTGCTGCCTGGCTGATCAGTGCAATAACTGTTTCAGCAGAGTGAGGCAGAGCTGCAGTGCAATGAAGAGCATTCTTTGCTATAGATATGCACTTTCCACTCCGTCCTGCAAAGCTTAATAAATGAACGTAAAAATACGTCACCAAGCCTGAAGCTGACTTTTAACAACAGCAGCAGCCTGTCTGAACCCAGTACACTGAACCCAGTTTCACCCCAGATCTGAGCAACCAGAGCTTATTGTCTGAAACCGCTGGTTGGGACTCGGCTTCTGATCTCTTTTCCCAGTTGAAAGCTTCCCATTTCTCCATTGCTGCCATGTGACACAGCTGGAAGGGAGCTTCACCCCCGGCACACAGGTTGTCAAAGAGATGTTGTTCTCCATTGAGATATCTGGTGTAAGAAAGGGTTCTAAGCCACAAACAGCAGGCTGAAAGCACCTGGGGAGGTCAGAACACAACAGTGTCGTTTTATTCGTAGTTCAAGTAGGGAGCTGCGTCAGCATGTGTAGGCTGCAAAGGAACAAGTAAAGGTTTAATCCAGGCTGAAAAGAGAAGAAAAGAAAAACACAACGTTTCGGCTGTGGAGCCTTCTTCTTCGACACCCGAAGAAGGCTCCACAGCCAAAACGTTGTGTTTTCTTTTCTTCTCTTTTCCGTAAGGAATGTTGTTTTATGCCTGGGTTTTCTATTGAAATCAAATCACACAAGCCATTGTGAATAAAAAAGCAGATTACTATTGATTTAGATTTAGAATGAATGTGTTTTTTTTCCATTACGCCTCTCATTATTCAGTGAAAAAGTAAAAAGGCCCCAGGATTTCACCTTCAACAATGTGGCTAGCCAGCTTGCTCCACGCCCCCACAGCCCTTTGTGTAAAGGAAGTGCCGCCTCTGCTCAGTTTAAGTGCACTTCCTCTGGTTCACGCTTGATGCTGAAGAAGACCTCTGGATTGGCTTGCCCAGTCCCCTGGAGGGTTTAAGGGCAGGACATCCCTCTGAGGATATGGAATACGTGGTTCAGCGCCAGGACACTCTGTGCAATTTACAGTCCATGGTGCCATAATACCGCACAGCGGTTGTGTCAGACAGCACACGTTCCCCCCGCAATGTTATCCCAGCCCTCGGAGACAAGCGCTCCCTGGTTCGCTCTTGTCAGATCGTATAAGGAAGTTCCTCTCTCTTCTCCACTGGAAGTCAGCCTGAAGCAAGAGGGAGCTAGGGGGAGCTGCATTAATACTGAGAAAAACTGAATGTCTCGCTGTGTCTGTCACCCAGCCAGATGACGCCAAGCAGAAAGTGCATTGAATTCCCATTGGAAGACATTGCTCTAGATAAACTTCAGCAACAAACCGCTGCCTGCACCCCCAGTGCCCATGGCCTCACTGTGATACACTAGCAGAGGTGTAATAATAGGAAATGTACAGTATGTACTTCTAGTCTGTGTTTGCTCATCGTTTGCAATCAGCATTGTCAAGGAGACACACATCAGTGCAGGTGAAGGGATGCAAAACACTGCACCAACAAGCTGGGCGGAAAAAAAACACAAAATGAATAAATAAAGCTGTGCTGGAATTCAGAATGAATAATGCCCGGGCATCAGCATTCACGTCTGCAGGGCAGCCATGACCAAACGGGCTATTGCCTGGCAAGGGGCTCGGGCTGGGATTTGCTTTGTTTAGTGGGTCAGGGAAGAGCAGCGATCCCGGGGGCAGCAGCCTGCAGTGTGTGTGTGGGAGCAGCAGGGGAGACAGAACCTGAGCAGCCAGTCTCAGGTCATGTATAATGCAGCGAGGCGGAGAGAGTGCACAGATCTCTCAAGCCCAGCCGCTGTCCCCGGGGCAGCCTCTCCTTCTGTGAGCTCGCCTCTCTGTGAAGCCTCCAGTTCTTCTCCTTCTTATTTAATAGAAAAGCTCCGTTCCACTCCAGCCGACTTCCGTGGAGAAGCTCTTCCATGGGGGCTGTCCAGCTCCGCTGGGTCACGGCTGGGTCTGCCGCCGCCAGCGCTGAAACCACTGCCTGGAGGGCGCTGGGATGCACAGGCCCGCAGTTTGCTTTAGTTTTTATTGCTGCTCACACTGGCTGCTCTGGTGCATGAGAAAGCAAGACCTGCGGCCAGCAGTCTTTCTGTGTTTCAGTTTGGATTCTTTAGCTTAAAGTCAGGAAAGCAGGCTAGCGGAAAGGAAATTCTGCCGTGCCCACTGCGCTGTCAGTAACACGGAGCCCCTGGGGGTTAAAGGGCAGATTGCACAGAATCCCCAGGTGTCACCAGGCGTCTGCGGGGTTTCGCTGTTCGGTCTAAGAGTCTTTGAGGATGTAACATCAATCTGCCCCTGTCCCCCAACAAAATCGGAGTCTACCTTTCCAGAATCTCTACCTAAGAAACCTGGTGCCCTTCGTGATTGTCCTTAGAGCTCCCTCTTGCAGGTGTGTCACACCAGCTCACTCCTCAGACAGGCAGATGAGGACACACGCACACTCACAGGCACGTGGAGATGAGTGCAGCATGGAGCAAGGAGGAAACCAGTGCCAGCCCTGGTGCCCTCAATCCCTCTGCCCAACAGGCCAGGCTCATTAAGACATTTGAGGGAGACACCTTTAAAGCACTCTCCAAAAGCCATCTGCCTCATGAGGTGGCCCAGAAAACATTCCTGGAGACATTTCTTTATAAGAAGTAAGGATGAACTCACCGAGAAAACATCCAGTAACTTACACACTTGCAAAAGTAAGCAACAATGCACGAACACTACATTATTACACAACACTCTCATTAATTACACCGCCAGCGTTTGGGACACCAAACCCAATTAACCGTAACTTTGGCAATCCCAGAATCCACTGTGGGCCTGCACGAGAGTGTGGTGGCATGGCTTTAGCGCGCCGGCCCTGTCTCGGCACGGCCTCACTGGACCTGTGGCTGTCTCTGTGTGTGCAGGCAGCGCAGGCACGGGCGTGATGTTCAATGAAAACGGCGATGCTCCTGGGCGCTACGATATCTTCCAGTACCAGCTGTCCAACACCACCCTGCCAGGGTACAAAGTCATCGGGCAGTGGACCAACCACCTGCGGCTCAGTGTAAGTCCCGGAGTTTTATCTGCACCAATGGTTTCGGTTTTAATTTGTGTGCTTCATCCTCAAAGGCAGGCTTCCTTCACTTCATCACTGGGTTACTTTACGCAGAGAGAAGCGTTCTCTGCTATCCTTAGCTTTTTAAAGCGTTTCCCTGTAGTTTCCACCTGTGTCCTCTTGTTAAACTTTCTCTGTTGACTCTGGAGGAGTCTGCTGAGCTGAATTCGTCTGTGTCAGTGTGGGACACTCCCTGCAGACTAAAGAGACTCAGCTCCTCCGGCCTGCCAATGTGGGACATTCCCTTCAGACTAAAGAGACTCAGTTTCTCCAGCCTGTCAATGTGGGACACTCCCTTCAGACTGAAGAGACTCAGTTCCTCCAGCTTGTCAATGTGGGACACTCCCTGAAGGCCTGGAATGAGTCTTCTTTGGATCGATTCCATAGTAACCTTAGGTTTTCTCTATTATGGTGCCCAAGATTGCTCATGCTGTTCTATATGAGGTCTTGTTAGTAAGTTTTACAATTTTGTCCTTCTGTGCCCACGTTGTCGCCAGAATCTAGATCTGGATCTTTTAGCTTTCTAACTTTTCCTCTTCTCAATCACTTGAGCAGAAAGAGAACATTAAAATCGAAATTGAGTTTCTGTGTGTATTAGCTTTCAAGTTGTGTTGCATTGCTATCATTTAATATAGCCCAACCCTGTACTGCATTATTGAGCCTGATAATAATTGACAATGGATAATAATTGATAATCACTATAGCAAACTGTTACAGTTGTAGCGGAGCTGGTGTGGTGACGTCAGCGCCCTCACTGCGCGTAGCAGGGTCCTCGGCTGCCTGGGCTGGGGGGGGTCTCCTTTAGCTCATGTGGTTGGTGCCCTGTGGCGTTACGCCGGAGACCCAGGTTCGCGCCCCAGGTGTGGGGGCCGGAACGGGCGGCGGGGGGCACGACCCCGCGCGGAGCTGTGACTGTCACATAGTGGACTGGACAGTGTACAGGCTAAGTGCTCCAACCATCTGTACTGTGCTTAGGGAAGGCTTTGTCAATAATGCAGGCACTCTCACATTTCACATTGTTACAACCACAGTGTGAGGCTGTGTGGGGGGAAAATACAACTGAATACTGTTCTGGAAGGATTGAACCCAAACTACCAAAAACAGTGATTCACTCAGGATGCTCTGTCATTGTCTTACCCAGTTAATTCTGCTTAGTTGACTATAACTGCAACTTGTACTGATGTGTGCTGTCCAAACGTCTGGAACTAACAACGTTTGCATTTCACTATGTAAAATATTTTTTAAATCAATTTCCCAGTGCCCAACGGGCCTTTACACTCAACCTAATTTCTGTGTCTCTCTCCAAAGCTTTTCCTCCTCAAATCTTTTCGAAATTTTAATCTCCAACTTTGAAACTCGGTTTATCTGTGCCTGGTGAGAGTGTTCCACTTGCAGAGGGACACCCGTTGCGTTGAAAAAAGAAATCGTGAGAGTCCAGGGGCTGTCCAGTGACTTGGTAGATAGTGCTGCTGCATCACAGCTCTTGGGTTCTGGGTTTGTTTTTGGACTGGGTACCGTCTGTGTGGATTTGCATGTTCAGGCCCTTATACACATGGGTTTTTTAGTGCAGTAGATGCCCCCAGTTTCCTCCCAGCTCCCACAGATGTGCCAGTTGGACTGAGTGGTAGCTGTCACTGCCCCAGGGTCTCTCCCTTGTTTGCCTGTTACAGGACCAAACAGAAACGAAACGAACAGAAACAGAAACTAATCTAAACCTCCTGCAGCTGCTGTTATTATATGTGCATACATTATGCCTTGGTTGAGCATTCATTTCTTACAAAAATATCCACCCATCCATTTTCTAACTGCTTCATTCAGTTCAGGGTTGTAGAGGAGCCAGAGCCTATCCCAGCAAGCAACAGGTGCAAGGCAGGGTACACCCTGGACAGGACGCCAGTCCATTACAGGGCACACACACACACACATACACTTACACCAGGGCCAGTGTTCCCAGAAGCCACTTAACCCACCAGTGTGTCTTTGAACTGTTGTCTTTCCGCAAACCTGGAAAGATCATGCAAACTCCACACAGACAGCACCTCTGGTCCAGAATTGAACCCAGGGCTCCAACGCAGCAAAGCAGCACTGCTGACCACTGCACTGTCGTGCCGCCCTTAGAAAAATATTTCAAGTTCATTTCTCTGCACTGCTGTTGTACACTGGGGTCCAGCGTTTGGAACAGCCCAGTGTCTCTCACCCCTTCTCCCTCTCTGCAGAAATTTAATACATGGTAGCTTTTAATATCAAATCTCTCTTTCAGAGATTGTGAATGCAGACTGTGGGTGTTAACCGCCCTCTGTGTCTCTGCAGCTGCGCTGTGCAGTGGGGCAGAGTGTGTGTGTTAACTGCCC